TATTCAGTGATGACTCCAGGTGTTCGGCGAAGCTCATCCTCACTATCCATTCCGTCAGTTGGTGTCATGGTGTAGAGGTTGAATTGCACCTCGGCCAGGTCGTGCACGCGAGGGGGGGGGGGGGGGAACTAGAGGGGGAAGACACATGTCCTGAACAGACCTTGATTTTGACTCTCTTAAAGTTCCAAATATTCTTTCTGATGTTAATGGTATATATGTTGAATGCTATTTTTGAACTATCGTGTTGTCAGAACAATAGCCTCTTTTCAGAGCAGCTTTTGCTGAAGGAACACTAAATTTTGATTCAGTTTATCAACATACCCGTGAAGATCTGGGGTAGAATAGGTCTTCAGCTACCCATGCTTGTCTCCCCCAGTGAAGATCTGGGGTAGAATAGGTCTTCAGCTACCTATGCTTGTCTCCCCAAGTGAAGCTCCGGGGTAGAATAGGTCTTCAGCAACCCATGCTTGTCTCCCTAATGAAGATCCGGGGTAGAATAGGTCTTCAGCTACCCATGCTTGTCTCCCCCACTGAAGATCCGGGGTAGAATAGGTCTTCAGCAACCCATGCTTGTCTCCCCCACTGAAGATCCGGGGTAGAATAGGTCTTCAGCTACCAATGCTTGTCTCCCCAAGTGAAGATCCGGGGTAGAATAGGTCTTCAGCTACCCATGCTTGTCTCCCCCAGTGAAGATTCGGGGTAGAATAGGTCTTCAGCAACCCATGTTTGTCTCCCCCAGTGAAGATTCCGGGTAGAATAGGTCTTCAGCTACCCATGCTTGTCTCCCCAAGTGAAGATCCAGGGAGAATAGGTCTTCAGCAACCCATGCTTGTCTCCCCCAGTGAAGATCCAGGGTAGAATAGGTCACTTAGACATCGCACCCAATACAGGCAACAACCATATACTTCCTACAACCATATGCTTGTCTTATAACATGATGATGAAAACGTTGGGCAGGTGTTCTCATTTTCTCAGCCAGTTGACATAATTTACAGTTTAGAATAAATGATGGGAACAGATGGTGTCAGGTTTCAGTGACTGTGACCTCGTCTTGATGCAGGAGACTTGGTTAGCTGACTTAGGAGAAACTCTCTTATTGAGCCATTTCCACGCCACCGATTTTCATATTCATGCGATGATACTATAAAACTTTGCTTGTAAAATGGTCACCACCTCGTTAAAGAGCTTTACCTTAGCCAGGTTGTCATAGTGGGATAATGTCAAAGTCGTGTATTTCAGTTGCTTGTATTCATATGGTGTCGTATATCATCAGTGATTTTCGAATTGGAACATTTGATACAAACTCTTTGTTTAGTTAAATATCATATTTAATTGCACTGCACAGAGTGGTGGTGTGAGACGAAATGGGGTATTGATTTGTCCTATACATGGTTTTCATATTTGTTTGCTGAAGTAAGCGTGGCACAGGTGCCCAGTCTAAGACACCACGTTTCCATGTGTGATAAGTTGCATACTCGTATTGCCAGGATATGCTGAACGTGAGTTTGAAACCCAAACTTACCGTGGTTGTGATCCTTGCGTTATTGAGATCCACACATGGGTATTTGCCAGCTTTATGAGCGCTTTTAGCAATACCAGGGCAGGGGACACCAGAATGGGCTCTCACATTGTATGTATGTGGGGAATCGAACCTAGCTGAGCCTTGGCATGTTGAGCAATTGCTTCAACCACGAGGCTACCCCACCCCTCCTTTCCCTCATGAAATATGTGTTATACACAGCACCAGAATTTCTGGGGATGCTGTGATCAAAATTGACATTCATTTGAGGGATGTTCCCCACAAGAATGGCATACATGGACTGCAGGTAGCCTCCATGTCAGTTGGATCCTTCCTCTTGTTCTTTATTCCAGAGACAAGCATATTAATTATTTTATTGTGACAATATGAGACACCCATTTGTGATGTCCATTACCACTACATTGTGAAAACTCACTCACTCACTCACTCACTCACTCACTCACTCACTCACTCACTCACTCGGGACTTGTGAAGATCTGGAATAGAATAGGTCTTCAGCAACCCATGCTTGCCTCAAAAGGTGACTATGCTTGTCGTAAGAGGCGACTAACGGGATCGGTTGGTCAGGCTCGCTGACTTGGTTGATGCAAGTCATCGATCCCAATTGCGTGGATCAATGCTCATGATGTTAATCACTAGATTGTCTGGTCCAGACTCAATTATGAACAGACCGCCATCAAATAGCTGGAATATTGCTGAGTGCGGCGTTAAACGACAAACCAACCAACTCACTCATTCAGGTGGTGGGGGGAAGAGTCTGCCGCCTAGTGTTCCCCATAGATACATACTGTGTGTTGTTTAACAGCCACTGGATAATAAATAACAGGCAGACAAGAATTAAATCTCCATATTGCCCCTGGTTCAGAAGCTGTTTGAAACTTGAATTGCATTTGATGCATATATTTGGAATGATGTAATATCTGTATTACCTGGCTTGCTAGAAATTACTCAGACATGAATTTTCATGCATTTATTTTGAAAAAATATTTTCTGTATTTCAGGATTTGCTACCAATTGGAAAATTGCTTAAATTAATTTTGATGCATTTGAGAATTAGAATTTAAGAAAATTAGAATAACATTACAATTCCAATACAGCAAGTGACAGTAGAGATATACTATGCTACTGGTAAAGGAGTTTATAACATTGGTTGTTTTGCCTGCGACCACAGTGTTTCCATAAGGCCTGTTTATCACATCACCCGTCACAAGTTCATTGCCTCAAGTGAAGTAAAACTACACTCACTCACTCACTCACTCACTCACTCACTCACTCACTCACTCACTCACTCACTCACTCACTCACTCACTCACTCACTCACTCACTCACTCACTCACTCACTCTTGATAACACATTATAAAGCAGTGAATGACGAAATAACTTAGAAAAATCAGCGTGTACACCGTGTACAACTTCCTCAAAACTAAAACAGGAAAGTCATAAGATAGCTTTGTAGGCCTATGTACCTATGTATAACTAGTTTTCACAGTTTACACATTCCTATAATGGGAGTGGCGAGTCAAAGGATGAATCAATAATATTTAATCTTACAAGGAAAATAGTTTGTTGACCAAGTTCATGTACCATCCAAGTTCACATTTCAAAATGTCTGACTTTGTTATTGATCAAAGGGAGATAACTCATTAACAGAATGGCCTCATTCTAACCAATAAAAACACCATTTATCTCTCATGATATAATCTTTTTCTTTTCCACTCTACAAAGCATACATATAATAATACTTGATCTGACAGTTTTGTTATTATTTTAATTCATTTAAAAATTATTGAAATTATTTGAAGGAAATATTTACTACAGAGATTAAGACACAAATAATATTTGATGATATGGCTGTAAATGTACATCAAGAAAAGAAATCATGTTAATATCCTTCCCTTGGGGATATTTCATATTTATTATTTCCTTTACAGTTTAGAACACAACTGTTAGCTGAAGTAGAGTGAGTGAATTAATCGATGCCCTTATTTTAAAGTACATAAGAAGAATGTTTTTACTGGTTCTCTGTAAGTTTTTTCATCTTAATAGAAGAAAATGATGTGCATGATGAGCAAGGATGATATAAAACGACCATTTCCTTCCATCCACTGACTAATTGTCACACAATAAACGTTGACGAGTATTTAAGTGTTGAAAGGTCCGCACTTGGAGTAAATATTGACATTTGTTAAACTCTGCACAACTTATAATTACATCTTTAACAGGCTTCCTTCACTATGTGGCCTGAGATTGCCTTGGGATTTAGCAACTAATTTGAAATCTCAAGAACAAGTCCATATGATTAAGGATTGTAGAGCCGGAAACTGACGAGAAATATGTCATATGGCAATTATAATGTCGTGTTGTGCCTCTGACATGTTTTATGGGCAAGTTTGAAAGAGGTTCCATATGAACAAGAGATTTAAAAGTGTTAGCTCAACGGGACTGTGGGAGAAAACGGCAATTACAGAGTTTAGAATTCGCCTGTAATCTTCGGAGAATTAGACTAGAGTCATAATGTTTTTTTCTTCCTCTCTTGTAGAAGAGTAGGCCGGTATTGAAAACAGACTTTATGAAAATGTACCTCTTAGCCAAAGTTTACTTTGGAAAAAGGTCTGGGTTCCCAAGTAGAAAAAGAACTGAAGTTCCTGATCGGAAATTGGTACGAACTCAAGTCAGAGGCCACACCAGTCTCTGGTCCATCATAGAATGTGTTCCCAAGCTGCAGTTATTAGACTTCAAATCCTCCCCTGCCTCAGTAATGCTTTCCAAATGAACGTCATAAAAGGAAGGGTTTGTATGGGATGAGCCCAAATTTCTATGTTCAGCGAAGGAGTTAAATTGATGTTTCTCCTTGCAGAACTTAATGTATTGAACGCAAAGCTTTAAAATATTTGCGCAGTTGTTAAACACTATTTTAAGGCTAATTGTGATTCTAAATGCACTCTAATGCAGCTTTTGGAGACCATTTCCTTGACTGATTTTCTACATAAAAATCATCACCCCTTTGTCGCCTTTTAAGATACTGACTTTCAAATTGGGCTAATTTCGATGGGACTTGAACAAACAGTCATTAATGGAGAGTTACGGAACAAAACAAATTTGGTCAGATTATAACTGTTTGATCAAGCTAAAGACTCCATAACGAAATTTCGTCTCTTGCAGGTGTTTCATATAAAATTGGAACTTCACTCCTCGAGATTTATTCAGGACGAGGATTTGGAAATGATGGGAGATTTCTTGCTCTGATATTTTCCGAAAACATTTGTGGGGAATAGTTGGCTGTTTGGCATTTGAAAATGGAAAGACAAAATTTAATGTTTGTGCAGTATGACTACTGCCAAACGCCGTCATATCCTGTTTGTCATCATTTACCGCATGTGAGTTTATTTGTAAAGAAATTGATCTATATTTATTTATGTTTTGACCTTTCACACAAGTATATTTTACTTTTTGTTTTCAGTGCCTTGATGAAGACAAAATGGATTTAAGGTATGTGTTTTCGTTTTTTGATTGATCTGTTTATATTATTGGTATTAAACACACATGGTTTTCACACATAGCCAGTTGTCTGTATGGTTGACAGATCTGGCGTCATTGGATCAAGTACACTTGTATATTTTTTTCAGGAATAATTTACAGATGACATATGTTGTTTGAAGCAACAATGTCTCTAATCCACTTTGTGTTAATTAAAAGTAAAATATAAGTGCTGATAGTCATGGAAATACAAAGTGAAATTGTTTGTTTTGATTTTGAGTAAAGAAAAACATGTAATCATGAGCAGTGTTAGTTGTGATATGTTTTATTAACCTCGTTTTTGCCATGGAATAAGTAACTCTGAATAAAGGAAAATTCTTTTTACCAACAAAATGTATTTTTTTTACAAATTTATACAGTCAATAAGAATAGGATTTTTTAGGTGTATGTGGACCAAAATTGTTAATGACATAAAGTTGATCACTATTTAAAATACTCTTTTTGACAATATTAGAAAAATATTTACCAAAGATGTAAAAGGCATGGTTCACCCGGAGATAGCAAACTATATTATTTAAGAGCGCCATGAGATCTTCAATAATATCATATATATTGTGTGCTATTTCCAGACAATGTCAGAATTTGACTTTGGTTTATGTATACTGTTTGCAACAGGAAGATATTATTGATTGGAATCATGACAGTACTTGTCACTTCACCTCAGCAGAGGAAACATATTTTATGTCTGGATCTCTTTTTCTATCCATGTTGTATAGTCTCAGGTTATGGTATAACATGTTCGTAGTGGGCTCAGGCTATTCCCGTGTTTCAAACTCTGCAGTTTGATATATGTTAGTTATGGTATAACATGTTCGTAGTGGGCACAGGCTATTCCCGTGTTTCAAACTCTGCAGTTTGATATATGTTAGTTATGGTATAACATGTTGGTAGTGGGCACAGGCTATTCCCGTGTTTCAAACTCTGCAGTTTGATATATGTTAGTTATGGTATAACATGTTGGTAGTGGGCACAGGCTATTCCCGTGTTTCAACATCTGCAGTTTGATATATGTTAGTTATGGTATAACATGTTCGTAGTGGGCACAGGCTATTCCCGTGTTTCAAACTTTGCAGTTTGATATATGTTCGTTATGGTATAACATGTTCGTAGTGGGCTCAGGCTATTCCCGTGTTTCAAACTCTGCAGTTTGATATATGTTAGTTATGGTATAACATGTTCGTAGTGGGCACAGGCTATTCCCGTGTTTCAAACTCTGCAGTTTGATATATGTTAGTTATGGTATAACATGTTCGTAGTGGGCACAGGCTATTCCCGTGTTTCAAACTCTGCAGTTTGATATATGTTAGTTATGGTATAACATGTTGGTAGTGGGCACAGGCTATTCCCGTGTTTCAACATCTGCAGTTTGATATATGTTAGTTATGGTATAACATGTTCGTAGTGGGCACAGGCTATTCCCGTGTTTCAAACTCTGCAGTTTGATATATGTTCGTTATGGTATAACATGTTCGTAGTGGGCACAGGCTATTCCCGTGTTTCAAACTCTGCAGTTTGATATATGTTAGTTATGGTATAACATGTTGGTAGTGGGCACAGGCTATTCCCGTGTTTCAAACTCTGCAGTTTGATATATGTTAGTTATGGTATAACATGTTCGTAGTGGGCACAGGCTATTCCCGTGTTTCAAACTCTGCAGTTTGATATATGTTAGTTATGGTATAACATGTTGGTAGTGGGCACAGGCTATTCCCGTGTTTCAAACTCTGCAGTTTGATATATGTTAGTTATGGTATAACATGTTCGTAGTGGGCACAGGCTATTCCCGTGTTTCAAACTCTGCAGTTTGATATATGTTAGTTATGGTATAACATGTTTGTAGTGGGCACAGGCTATTCCTGTGTTTCAAACTCTGCAGTTTGATATATGTTAGTTATGGTATAACATGTTTGTAGTGGGCACAGGCTATTCCCGTGTTTCAAACTCTGCAGTTTGATATATGTTAGCGTGTCGTGGCCAGGTGATCCATGACTGTCACGATGGAAGGAGCCTTGGAAGTTGACTTGCTTACCTCGTTTGTCACCACTACAAAGACATCGCAGGCACCTGGTGTCGTAATTGGTTTTTTTTAAAAAAAATGGTTGGTTCTCGAATTTGTTCTTCCAATGTGTTTGGTGTCTGTTCATACCATTCTGTTTCATGAAAACCTACGGCCATTAGTCTAGTTTTTCACTGAAACAAATTTATTGATAAATTGTATTGGTTTGTTTGTCACAGGTAGGTCTTGGCATTTTGTTACTGTTAAACAAACACCTGGTGTCATTACTTACACGAAACACTGTGTGGGAAGTTGTCACTTGCTTGGCAGGGTATTTGCCACCTATGGACTGGACATACTTGCCAGTTTCGCAAGCACCTGGTGTCATCCACTCACAGTGAGGTGTCTGTGGAACTTGGTGAAAGGTTAATCTCCTCTTTGTCTGGGGTACAGTCTTGTGACCAACTTACAACGAAGATGAACACCTGTATGGCTGCATGGTTGTCATAGTGACACGGAAGCAGGCACATATTCTTTATGACCAAACTCCTGGTGAAAAAACACCTTGAAGCATTGACAATTTCCTATGCTTTACAACTTTTGCATTTTACAATGTTGATGAACATGTGCCTTCAGATTTACGGGTCTTATTTGATGAATATTTGATGCAGGGAAATTGTAATATTTGAAATCTTCAAACGTGGTCTGTTCTAAATGACAATTTCAGGCATCGAATGCTCAATAACAGCGCAAATCTTCGCACAGTGTTGATGTCCGAAGTAACTCTTCTAGGTGGAGGTATTAAAGTGTGTGAAGAGCGACTACCTATTGCACCTGATGATATAGCTGTCGTCACCATGACTCAACTGTTGAACTCAGGAGCTTGTTATGACGAGGTGTTCGGGAGTTGTAATGTATTTACTGGGCCCAAGTGAGGTAGTCGCTGGTGTCGAGTCATCTTTTATTATCTTCTGCTTTGAAATATTTATTCAGCGATACAACAGTTGTTCAATGCTGGCAGTAACTCATTGCACGGGGCCATGTCTATTTACAGTTGTGTGATTTCATCAAATATTAATGCTTAGATTTAATCAAATGTCATTTGCCTGATTTGGCCAAAGCAAGGATTAATTTTATTGAGCCAAATTTCAAAGTAGCACAGCAGGCTTTTGACTATTATACATGAAACAAAGCAATGAGAGTTTTTAGACAGTACAAGCTTTGTGGTAGGCTGTTGGTTTCGAACACTGTCGATGTTCAAAGACATGCTGTGCGGGCATTTTCCTCCCTCCAAGACATGAAATACACGAAGCTCTTTTATCTCAGCCCGGGATTCAATTAGCAAAAACCAACATGGCCATATCAGCACAGACTTCCAGAACGAGCAGAAATCAGTTAGCACATATAGCCAAATATCAATGTTTTGGCCCAACATAAGATACTGTGATTCCAGATGATAATGTTCTCCGAAGCATGGGCAGAAAAGAACTTGTCCTAAAAGGCAAAAATAAGGAAAATCATATCTGGATTTTTTTTACAAAATGCTAAACTTAATATCCATGTTCGTGGAGAATGCATCAAAAGAAATTTGATATTTCTAAAAAAGTGAAATATACTACTCAAAAGTAGTTAAGGATCACTCGTTCTTCCCTATTTCTACAGATAATCTGTCATGATAGACTCAATATAGGAATAGGAAAGAACGGGGTGTTCTCTCACTTCTTGTGAGCAGTAAATGATACGATTGTTTGTTGTGATCTTGATTGATGTGTTGGTAATATTGTCTGTTTTTCTTTTTCTTTACTTTGATTAGAATGTATATGTAAATAGTGTGCAGTTGTCTTGCATGGAATTCAGGGTAGAATGATCAAATTAAGATATTGTAAATCTGAGAATCTAGCTTATTTTGTTGGATGTTGATCCTTCAGTGTCGCACTGGCGGCAAAAGTTCATGGAAAAGGTCACTATTTTGATTCCAGCAGCTTTGAAAGGCCGTCCAAAGATTCCATCAATCCTTATCAATCATTTTTCTCTTTATTGAGTCCATTCCATACCCACATAGAGAATAATTGAGCCGTCATACGGGGAGCAAATCATCCCTGTTAGTGGTGTGTGTAGGGGAAGGTGAAATACCATTCTGCGGCGCTGCAGTGGAGTTTCCCGTTAACTCACTCATTGATTGCCTGATCCCACGGGACATGGCAAATGTTCAGTGGAATCGAGCTGCAAGTCGGGACTGGGTGATAAGTATCATGAAGCTTAATTAAACAATTCACATCTCCGTATAACCAATATTTCTTTTCCATCAAAGATGTGCACAGTGAAACGTTCACGATATTTCATGGCTGATGCTACAGTTAATGTAGATTTACTTTCTCAATTGTTCCATATGAAGAGATTTCTCTTGGAAGTGCAAGTATATATAACTCCTATGTTTAGCATCCCTTGGAGATTAAATAATCATCTAACTGGTTCCACAAACTCTTCATTCTTGACTAATTTCCAACATGAGAATGCCATTTAGAGTAATTTGTGCAATTGTATTTGATACCTAGTGCTTGGGATAGTGATTATGCCATTTTGATCTTCTTCTCTTGATTCTGTTTGGCAGAGTTGAGTTGAGCTTAGTTATAATCGCCTTTGAAAATAGAATACTATTATCAAAACTATTCTTGCGATGGAGATCTTTTCTTTTTGTTTTCTAAACTAAATCTCTTCAGATAAAGTTCAGTAATATTAGTAGAAAGAAAGCTTTTTCTATAAAAATAACATAACATAACAACTATTATTGTGGCCCTAGGTATGATTGAATGGCATGGACTCGGGAGTAGTTTTGTCATCTTGATGACATTAGGGTCCATGTTGATACAATGTTTCAGTGAATTGTTCAAGTGATACACATTTCATAAGATTCTTGTCAAATGAATAGAATCTTCTTCTGACATATTAAGAATAT